AAAGAAAGTTTTGCCGTGAGAAAGAAAGTTTTGCCGTGAGAAAGAAAGTTTTGCCGTGAAAAAGAAAGTTTTGCCGTGAAAAAGAAAGTTTTGCCGTGAGAAAGTAAGTTTTGCCGTGGCACCTGTGGGCCACCGTAGTAGAGGCAAAGCTGTACACGATCATCGCATGTTGTTACTCTGATCATCGCATGTTGCTGCTCTGATCATCGCACTAAGCGTGAAACTCGTAGCAGCGATCTATACTGTTCTATACACCCAAATAGCGTGCATTAGAATCCCTAACATTGATTAGTTATAAATCTTTGTCTTGCAGGCTATGAAAGACGCCAAGGCTAAAATTCCGCCCAGTGATATGTTTAAACATGAAATTGACAAATATTCAAAATTCGACGATCAGGTGTGTATATCCCGTTTATTTTTGCCAAAATTCGAACGCCGCATGTAGAGACAAAATTCAGCGTAGTAAGGCATTCACATATGACGTGCGCATATGATGTAATCAGGGCAATGTTGTTCTATTCCCGAATTGATACTGTATGATTAACTACAACAAATGACTATAATGGACTGTCTATAAGGTGAAAATGAGTTATACACGAGTCTCATACACGATAGAACAAGGTTGGCCGCGATTTCAACCCTATCTTGAGTTTCAACCCGGGACTGAAAATCGTTCTTATAATCAGACGCATTTTACAACCCTTTGACCACGAAGGAGGGATGTAATTTCACCTCAGGTAGGAACCCAAGGAAGGAGGGCTGAAATCCAAACCCTAAGGGAAAGCTTCTATTTCGTTAGGTACATGTAGTTGCAGGGTGAACTGACTTTATTCTGGATGAGACGTTTTAAATCAGCTGATTACGATTCGTTTCACCAGATTCGTTTGCCAGTTTTGTAGACACCTCTTTCAGAAGATTAAACTGCATAACGGTATGGAAATGCTCAATGGCGGCGCCAGCCAATACGCTCTGGGGGGGGGGACGAAACAAAATATTTTAGACCACGCCCCTTTTAGCACCAGAAAACGCCCTTTTACTAACAAGGAACGCAATTTTTACCGAAAGGGAACGCCCATGACTCACTTCTGGCTATGTAAAGGCAGTTTGAAAATCATAGGATTACATCACAAAAAATACGTTGCCAGAATATTATCCCTCCCCCAACATTTTCTCATCGGATTTAGACGAAATGCAAAATTGATCCTGCCGAGAACTGGGGGGGACGTGCCCCCCCAGTCCCCCCCGTGGCGCCGCTACTGGAAATGCTATTTAACTTTCTTTGCCGATAATTTTCATAATTAGCACAGTTTTCAGTCCCCATGTGATGATTCCTGTATTCGGTCTGTTACCCATACCTCTCTATAGTTTTCTCTTTTCGGCTACTCGATATAGATTGAGTCTCCTTGAGGTAAGCTAGGTATCGGAGTCTCTCCAAAACAAAGTCTCTGAAGTATAATTTAAATCAAGTACAGAAATATATATATATATATATATGTATATGATTGGCAATGAAAAAGGGAGTATTTGTCCTTCACCTCGTCCCCTCCTTCATCACCTCATCGGTCATCCTACGCCATCCAGGGTACAACTGACAGCGAATAATGAAAACTGTGTTTTATTTGATTTTAGAGGGTGTGTTTATAAGAGCGGAACGTTTATTAGAGAAGGGCAACTAATTAAAAGGGGTGTTGACTGAAGAGAGTAAATTTTTTCTCGAAAAGAAATTATCCATATTTTACTCTAGGAATAATAATCTGAATTTCAATATTCGAAAATTTATCCTCATCTCTCAGATCGAGCAAGTGATTTTCATTTTTTGCTTCCTCGCCTGATGGACAAGACACTGTTCAGAGTATCTGCATTCATTAATACAATGGGGTGAATTTAGGGGACGCTTATTGAAACAAGAACGTTTAGGAAAGAGAGGGGCGTTTATAACAATGTTCAACAGCTATAAGGACATTTCTTGGTGGCGTTTAAAAGAGAAGTGACGTAATTCAGAGACGATACAGTATTTTCTTTATGAACAATATTTCTATGACTTCGAAAATCTTACGTTCCAGGGTATCCCCACACATGATGCTTCCGGAAAAGAAATCAGTGCCTCACAGCTGAAAAAGCTGAAGAAATTATATACCCAACAGGAAAAGAATTACCAGAAATACATTTCAGAAAATGTTGAAAATGGTAGTTGATATTTTAAATGAAATTATGTCGAATTAAATTGATGTGTTACTCGTTGTTTCATCTTGTATCGAAGATGGTAATAAGATACTTTAAAAGAGGGAAAAATGTTGCCTGACAACAAAATAGTTGTTGGGACCACTATTTCTAGCGGTGCCCCTATCTTAATATTTAATGATAGACGAAGTGTAAGATGAAGATTCAGAGAAAAATCACCATTTTGTGTAACTATTTTGTATCAAATCCATCAGTATTTTATTTCCCATTTCCGCCGATCACAATCCTTACTTCAACTCTACTCCAACCAACTAACTAACTTCGAGTAACAACATACATAATCACGTTTGTCCTTATTAGGTATTGAGAATCAAAGTTTAAGACATTGAGTCATGGTAAATAGGCCTTCTCTATAGGGGGTCATTTGGTTTCGGCGTGGTATACCCTAAGTGCCAAAATCCGCCGAGTCGTGATTTTCATGACTGCGATGCTATTGGTTGACCTGGAACTGGTCACATGAAATCACCTCGAACTGATTGACAAAACAATTTTCATCAATAGCAAGTTGTCAACAACGGATGCCAATATCACATGAAACAGCAGCGATCACGCCGAAACCAAATGACCCCCTATAGAGAAGGCCTATTTCCCATGACTCAATGCCTTTAAATTTAAGGAACAAATCAAAAACAGTTTCATAAATTCTAGTCGACCAATGATCCCTTTCCTAAAACGTTTGCAAACTCTCAGAAAAGGCTGCTTCAATTTTTTAAAATCGATTCATCTGTCGATGAATTTTCTAGAATAGTTTAGGGGATTTCCCTTGGCGCAGTGGCATTCCCTTACCTAAGGGTTATTTATATCAACTTTATCATAAGGGGTCGTATTTTAAATTTAAGGAACAAATCAAAAACAGTTTCATAAATTCTAGTCGACCAATGATCCCTTTCCTAAAACGTTTGCAAACTCTCAAGAAAAGGCTGCTTCAATTTTTTAAAATCGATTCATCTGTCGATGAATTTTCTAGAATAGTTTAGGGGATTTCCCTTGGCGCAGTGGCATTCCCTTACCTAAGGGTTATTTATATCAACTTTATCATAAGGGGTCGTATTTTAAATTTAAGGAACAAATCAAAAACAGTTTCATGAATTCTAGTCGACCAATGATCCCTTTCCTAAAACGTTTGCAAACTCTCAAGAAAAGGCTGCTTCAATTTTTTAAAATCGATTCATCTGTCGATGAATTTTCTAGAATAGTTTAGGGGATTTCCCTTGGCGCAGTGGCATTCCCTTACCTAAGGGTTATTTATATCAACTTTATCATAAGGGGTCGTATTTTAAATTCAAGGAACAAATCAAAAACAGTTTCTTAAATTCTAGTCGACCAATGATCCCTTTCCTAAAACGTTTGCAAACTCTCAAGAAAAGGCT